CCTCTTCCTCCTCCTCCTCCTCCTCCTCCTCCTCCTCCTCCTCCTCCTCCTCCGCCTTCCCCGCCACCTTCACGCACGGGTCGATTGTGCACCGGTCTCTTGGCCAGAGACGACCCTGCCAAGGATCGGCCTCGCCAAAGAGGGCAGCGTCTGTGTGTACATGAGGAGGAGGAGGAAGAGAAGGAGGAGGGGGCTTGCGCTCTCCTCGAGGTGGCACCTGTGCTCCACCGCCTGATGGACTGGGTGGCGAGGTCCGCCGAGGCTGGCGAGCCGCCGGTGGCCGTCGTGGACTTGTGCAGCGGCCCCTCGGGGGAGGAAGAGTTAGTACCCCCTCGCCGCGTCGTGGCAAAAATCACGACGGGAGATGGTTCTCTATGTTCGCATGTTTTCGTTGTTATCCACCACTAGCATCGGTAGGACGGAGGAGAAGGGAGGAATGTGGAGGTCCTCCTCCTCCTCCTCCTCCTCCTCCTCCTCCTCCTCCTCTCCCCTCTTCCTCCTCCCCCTCGTCCTCCTCCTCCTCTCCTCCTCCTCCTCCTCCTCCTCCTCCTCCTCCTCCTCCTCCTCCTCCTCCTCCTCCTCCCCCTCCTTCTCCTCCTCCTCCTCCTTCTTCTCTCCCTCCTCCTCGTCCTCATTCTCCTCCTCTTTCTCTCCCTTCTTCCTCCGCCTCCTCCTGCTCCTCCTCCTGCTCCTCCTCCTCCTCCTCCTCCTCATCATCATCATCATCATCATCGTAGTCGCCATGGGGGAAGCCTAGACCCCTTCGCGTCGTGAACAAGATCACGACGGAAGGTTCTTATTGTGCCTCGGGACCGTGAAGAAACCACTCAGGGTAAACAGTACGTCGCATGTCTGGGAGTCTGCTATATGGAGTCGGACCGAAACGTAAGATCGAGATCGGTTCGGGGAGGGTGCCCTAGTCTACTGTTATTCGTGTTTCTTGGATGGTCACGTGCCCTCGGATGTTCTGTGTTTTGGCCAGCGGAATGTCTCATGTTCTTGAGGGATGTTCTTCTGGCCTGGGTCCGACTGTACCCTTCCCTCGTTTCCCCTCGTTGGGCCTCCTGGGAAAGTCCCTCGTTGCCACCACTGAATTCGCCCCGAAGTTCTGGTCAGATCGCACTCCGGGAGAGGTCCAGGGAGTAGCGGTATCCGCACCCTTTTGGTTCCCCAGGCTTCGGCTTCCTGTCGATGTTCGCGTCTGAGCTGCTTCCCCCGAGCGCCGTCGAGAGGATCTACCTCGTGGACGCGGCCTTCGGAGGGCACCAGCGAATGCTTGCACCGATCCTGGCCAGGCTGATTCTGGGCGGGGTTTGGTGTGCATGAGAGTGTTTTGTTTACCCTCTGGGCCATAACGCGCGTTATGCCTCCTACCCTCCCGCCCTCCCCCCCCCCATAACGTAACGCTCCCCCACTCGGAGTGCGTCCCCGGCACTGCCGCGGTGCGTCCAGCACCACAGTGTTGGGGGGGGGGGTGCTACGTTATGCCCCCTCTCGCCCCCCCCCCCTCTCCCCCCCAGAACGCCCGTTCCCAGACCCCCGGCGTCAAGACTGCTCCAGAACGTCGGCCCCCAGAGGTCTCGACCCCGTCGCCGGGCCCCGGCTTCCATCCCAGAATCGCGGTCTTGCACGGCTCGCAGGGCCGGGGAGGGCCTCCAGAGGCCGAGCACATGTGGAGAAGCCTCCCGCCACGGGGTCCTTGCTCGCAGGCGATGTTTCTCCCCCAATCCCCGAGTTTCGCCCAAAAAGTTTGGCCGCTCAGAAAAATGGAAAAACCCTGGGATACACCCCAAGGGGGCTATTCGGACGCACCCCTATCGAGGATGGGCACCCCCCCATCGTATATCCCAGGGTTGGGCCCCAAATTTCTGGTCCATTCGGAAACCCCACGAAGCCTGGGATAGGGGTCGACGTATCCCTTGTTACTTGCGGGTTCTACGACCGCGAAGACACACCGACGTGCGCTCCGTCCAGGCCGCCCGGGGCGGCGCGGCGGCGACCGCGCGCGGCGCGCGGCGCGCGGCCTGGGCCCAGCGAGCGCCTGCCCCTCCTCCCTAGGCAGGAGGGGGGAAAGCAGACAGGCGCACCGAGCTGTCGACTCCCCAGAAGAACAGGGAAACGATGGGAAGTGGGGGGGGGAAGACGAAAACCCAGAAGATAGGGGAACAGATGGGGAGTCCTGTTGTCTGCGTCGATGTAGTTGTGTGTCCCTGGGCCCCTCCTCCAGGGGGGGCGCGCGGCGCGGGGGGCTTCTCGGAGGTGGCCGCGCGGCGCGCGCCCCGCGGGGCGCGAGGCGCGAAGGTGGGCGACCTCGCGCACTCTGGGCTTCAGTCGGGCCTGTCCCTCCACAGGAGGACTAGTCAAGAACAGTTAGAAAAATTATGAGTTTGCCCTGGCGCGAAGTCCGGCTTAATCCCGCTGAATCCCGCGTAATCCGGTTTCATCCCGCTTAACAGCCCCGCAATGGGGCTTAATATTCCTCCTTAAATCTTTCCGGCGAAGACCTCCCAGCAGTTGCTTCCTAACAAAAACAGTATGGTGACGATTACTCAATTTCTTTGTAATGATTTTTGAGAATCCTGCGTGCATGTTTTGTTTTTCGTTCAAAATCCGCCTGTATGGGGGACATGCCCGACCTAGTTCTAGGCCTCCCAGAAAGGGTCGGAGTGGATGGGGTCGGAGGACCACGCCGCATCGCCGATGCATCGCCGATGCGGCTCGATGTGGAGCCCGCTTTTCTCCACGCCGACGTCGCCGATGCATCGCCGACGTCGCCGCCAATGCGGGGCGATCCTTCGACTCCATCTACTCCGACCCCATCTAGGAGGCCTCTACGTATGCGTTCCAACCCAAGCCAGGAGGGCGGACAAGCACACCGATCCTTCGAAGAAGAACACAAAGGCATGAACATAAACTGTTGGCGCTCCGCGCGGATTTCTGGGATCCGCGCTGGGCTCCCCCGGCGGCGCCCCTGGCGCCACCCCTGGCGCGCTCCGCGCGGCAGGGAGGCGTGTCTAGCGCGGATCGTCCAGCATTTATGTTTATGCCGTTTTCTGTTCGTCCAGATCCCGGGCCCGTGGTGAGCCTGGCCAGGATCGGTAGGGGTGCAGAGGTGGCGCCCTCCCAGGCGTGGCCGAACCAGGGGCTGCCGAAGGGCACCAAGCACGCCCCCGGCACGCAGAGCGTCGACCACATCTACGGCAACGGCGCGTGGCCCATCCCGCTGGTCGCTGGAGGAGCAAGGGAGTCTGCTCGAGGTGCGTGCCAGGATTTCCGCCAGGTTCCCTCCAGCGACCAGGATTTCCAGGCTTTCCAGCAACAGGACATCATGCAATCGAGGGAGGATGTCTTTCCAGGAGTTCCTGCTGCTCCGCATGAACTCCACAAACGAGGGCCGCTAGATTAGTGGGGCGAACAATGACATAATCATAAAAACTCAGACGTCCGCGCGGATTTCTCAGATCGGCGCTGGACCCCCCTCCCTGGCGCGCGAAGCGCGCCAGGGGCGGCGCCGGAGGCGCGGCCAGGGGTCTCCAGCGCCGATCCGGGAAATCCGTGCGGACCTCCGAATTGTTATGTTTACGTCACCTTTCGTTCCGAGTTTTTATGTTTCTGTTGGTCTTCGTTCCCCTATAGATGCTCAGGAACTCCTGGAACGTGGCAAGGGCCAACCGCATCATGTCGTTATCCTTGCGTCGGGCCTGTCCCTCTACAGGAGGAACAGTCAGAAAGATTTAAAACATGTCTGGGGATGTTTCTTCGACTATGTTTCAAGCAGTTTCAAGTATGTTTGATTCTTCGTGCAAAATCCGCCTGTACGGGGACATGCCCGACCTAACGATGTCATGATCGTCCCAGGTCACGCTGTCCATCGACGTGAAGAAGGGCTCGGACATGCGCGGCCTCGCCCGCCACGTCATCCGCGACCCCTGGCCGACCATCATCTGCGGGATCCACCTCTGCGGGACGCTGTCCTCGAGGAGCAAAACATGGCATACACATAAACGTTCTGAGTTGTTCAAGTCATAAGCATGCCTGCACCCGACATGCACATGGCGTAAGCATGACGCAAACATGTCTTCGATGAGCAAGACATGGCATACACACGGCATAAACATAAACCACCTCCTCGAGGAGCAAAATATGGCAGATCCATCGGTCGTTGACAGTAGCCGAGCGCGGGCGACAATAAAGTCTACCCCCTCCTTAACCCCCTCTATTGTTTATCCCCGTTCAACAGGGTTCAATTGTGAAGATAGGCGCGGAGGCCGAACTTTATAATCCACGGGGGAAGTTGCGAATCGAAGTTGCTATCATCTCATGTTTACTAGCAACAGCATGAAAAACGCTGAGCATGGCTGTGGTCTCACCACACCAGCGTCCGCAATCACGAGCGTGTGGCAGGGCTGTGGGATCCTCACCGGTTCAGTTTGCCCAAGTTACGAACGTGCGGCAGGGCCATGGGATTCTCATTTTCTCAGCCGTTCCCGAGTCAGGAACGTGTGGCAATGGGGACCGATTGGATTTTGATTGTACATGCGTTTTTCGAGCAGGCAGAGCATTGGAGTTAATTTTTTAGCGCGTCCCTCACACGGTTCGTGGCGAGTTAATAATTATTGCTTAGCGCATCCCTCACACGGTTCGTGTCAAGTTGTATAGCCACGAGCCTCGAGATCTTTCGAGTCAGTCTTGTGCCGAGCGCCTGCGGGCAAGTTGTACAACCACGAGCCTCGAGATCTCTCGAAAAAAGTCTTGTTCAGAGCGCCCAGGATCACCATCGTCATCGTCGTCATCATCATCATCATCATCATCTTCATCCCCGGGAAAATCTTTTATTATCCCCGCCAGAACCTCGAACTTTATTACGCCCCGGTGAGTACACCTTAGGCGATGCTTAAGAAAACCTAAGTTCTCGGCCAGAGTCTCGATTATTCTTAACGTTTCAATGTAAATCCTAAGATTTTGATAGAAATGCTGGGTTTTTTATTGAAGTTCTGAGACCATGAATTTCTTAACCCATGATTTCTAAAGCATTTCGCAGGGTGTACTATCGCCAGCACAGGGTTCGGTATTTTTTGGAACCCCAGGGTCCAATCTATTTTAGGCGCCTTCCTACTTCAACGATCCAGTGGCTTCCCTTCTTCCCTCCTCATTTTAGGGGGCGGTGGAGACCCAACATATTTTCAGCGCCTTCATACTTCATGCTTCTACCTACTTTTGTCGACCGATGCGTGGGGAGTTCCGCGCTAACTTCCCTCGGCGCTGGACCCCCTTCCCCCTTCCCTGGCGCGCGGAGCGCGCCATGGGGCCCAGGGGGGCCCCAGCGCCGATTTGAGACACCCGCGCGGACCGTCGAAAGTTCCATGGCCTGCAGTGCATGTGTCCGGACACGCCAGCATCCAGAGGCCACGGCCTCGCCCATGTGGTCCGAGCCCGGCCCGGAAGCTTGTCCGCAGCGGGCGTCGTTCGCGCGTTCGCTCGTCAGAAGCTCATGTTCTAGGCCTCCTTGTCGGGGTCCTATTAGATGGGGTCGAAGGATCGCGCCGCATCGCCGATACATCGCCGATGCATCGGCGATGCGGCTCAATGTGGAGCCCGATTTTCTCCGCGCCGATGGAGCCGATGCATCACCAGCGTCGCCGATGCAATCCCCCGGCCCCACCCACTCCGACCCCATCTAGGAGGCTTCTAGCCCCAGACATGCGACGTCCTGATATTTTCAGGACGGCGTCCCTGGAAGTCCCGACCCTTTCCCCAGGACCGGCTTTTCGTCCTGAGTCGGTTTTTGACAGTCCCGAGGCTCAGCGAGGGCCCCCCGGGCCGAAAATAGCCGATCATGTCCCGTCCTTATTTTTTTACGACGCGATCAGGTCTGGGGCTCGTTCGTCGGAAGTTTCTGTTCGTGTCTTGCTTTGTGCCTCGCTGTCCCTGCGGGCCATCCAGCTGTTCAACGACGGCGCCGCCTCTGGCTGCGGCGTCACGGGCCTGATCCTGGCGCCGTGCTGCCTGCCGCGGAGGCGCGAGGGGGCGGCGTGCAGCAGCGGAGCGGGGCAGGCGGAGGAGCGGTTTGCTCCGAGGGCGGGGGCCTCCTCCTCCTCCTCCTCCATTCCTTTTCCGTATTGATAGTTTCTCCCTGTCGCACCCCGAGGCCAGTTTTTAAGGTTGGGCCCGACGTTTCGCCAGAGGCTTCCTCACCATTGATGATTCCGAAACTGAGAATATGGCAACAGTTTCACATATGGAGGGCGGGCCGCTTTCGAAATGCGACTCTCGCCTTAGCTCCTCGCGCAATCGTGTTTTTTTTCAATTTGCAAGAGCTTCACGGATTGAAGGCGGGTCGTTTTCAAAATGTGGTTTTCGCCTTCGCGCCGCGCACATCCGTTTTCAAAAGCGTGCAAGTGTTTTATGGAGTGAGGGCGCCGCGCACATTCGTTTTTGAAAATTGCAAGAGTTTAACAGGTTCCCATGGTCAACGTACCAGAAATTGTGTTTTGGAAGGATTTAGGATGATGCGGGTGCAACAATTATGTTGGCTCGCGGTGTTGAAGTCCCCACAATGTTTTTCTTTGGCACGGTTCCACATCGTCAGGACGCAGCAATCAGGTTGACGCGTGGCGTGGAGATTCCGAGAACAATGTTTTGACCTGTTCCAAGGTCTTCAAACGGGTGTCTTCCAACGAGGCACTTCGTTCAATGGAAATGAACCTGTATAGGGGCCTATGAAGAGGGAGCTTGGAGGGAGGGTTAATTCCAACATCGTTGATAACTCTTGGGTTTACACTGGCCCCCTTCTCCTTCTCCTCCTCCTCCTCCTCTTCCTCCGCTGTCTCCTGGGTCCATGAAACGAGGTCGCTGTTTCACACGTGGCAGTCGCACTCCAGATCCTCTGCATGATGCATTCGACCTGCAACGTTCTCCTTACGTGAGGCTTACGCAGCAGATCTTGTGCGTGATCTGCAGCACGTGCGCATGATTTCCCCTCGAGCTCTTCATATTTTCGACCGATGCCAGCATTGCTACACGTCAGTGGGAAACGTTCCGAGCCATGTTGTTTTCCAGGCCAGCGTGGATGACCAAACAGTTGGTCGAGGGTCCCACGGCCAAAAAGGCCAACAACGGAGGCGACAGGGACGATCGCGGTGGCGCTGGAGGACGCAAGTCCACCAAAGGCGGCAAGAAGCAACGTCTGGAAGAGCTCTTCGTGGTGCAAGTCTAGCTGGCACGCACCGACGATGCGCAGCTGCTGGCGATCGTATAGGCGCAATATACGGCACTTGGTTGTGCCCGCTCGATGCGCCGACGATCCAGTTCATGCTGGAGGAGAACCAGGCCTTCAACTCGGAGTCCCAGGCCGGGAGGGAGAGGGAGAAGCAGGCCGAGAAAAACGGCAACACGGCGTTTGAGAAGAAGAAGAAGCAGACGACGAATAAGGAACAGACACATTAGAAAGAGAAGAAGCAGAAGGAGAAGAAGTTGTGCGCACCCTTTTTGATGGCGTTCAACGCGTTTATCCAGGGCGCGGCGGCCAAACCAGACGAGGCGACGAGGGACTTCCCTGTGGAACGCGTTCCAGCGCCCAGATATCGGGAGGGCACGGTGACGGACGCGAGCAGCCCCAAGGACACGTCGGACGTCGTCCGCGATGGCAGAGCCACGAGGAGAAGTGACAGGTCGAGACGGACGTCGAGTCTGTGCGTGCCCGGTTCTCGATGACGGGAAAGACCTCGAGGGCGGCGTCCATGCTAAGGTTAAGTCGGGTCTGTCCCCTTACAGGGGGATTTTCCAAGACAAATAAAAATACCCCAAACATAGTCCAAACATGGTCGGGGGACTATTGTTGGAGTATGTTTTTACATTTTTGGTGCAGTTTTGTAGTATTTTTTATTTTTTGTCGAAATCCCCCTGTAGGGGGACACGCCCGACATAATGCTAAAGGCTATCACGCGTGGGGGTCCGCAGAGCAGGTCGCGATGCCGCTCGTCTGCCCCCGTCCCTCCTCTGGTCTCGCCTGGCCTGCCCGGGGAGGAAGAGCTCCAGAGCGATCGCCCTGCCTGGGGCGAGCCAACGCTGGGAGGGTGCTGTTCCGGGTTTTCGGGCCTTGCCCCTCCTGGCTCCACTGTGCCTCCGCCCCGTATTCTTCTCTCGTATCTCCTGCTCCTCCTCCTCCTGTTCCTTCTCCTCCTCCTCCTCCTCCTCCTCCTCCTCCTCGTCCTGCTCCTGTCCCTCCTCCTCCTCCTCCTCCTCCTCCTCCTGCTCCTGCTCCTGCTCCTGCTCCTGCTCCTCCTCCTCCCCCGCCCCATGCTCCTCCTCGTTCTCCCCTTCCTCCTCCTCCTCCTCCTCCTCCTCCTCCTCCTCCTCCTCCTCCTCCTCCTCCTCCTCCTCCTCCTCCCCCTTCGCCTCCGCGTTTCGCCTGCGACATTCTCGCCACTTATGATTCTGAAGCTGAAAGAATAGCAACGGTTTCACATATGGAGGGCGGGTCGTTTTCAAACTGTGTCTCTCGCCTTATGTAGCGCCGCGCACATTCGTTTTCAAAATTCGCACGGGTTCCACGGATTGAGGGCGGGTCGTTTTCAAAATGTGGTTCTCGCCTTAGCGCCTCGCACAATCGTTTTCAAAAGTGTGCAAGAATTTCGCGGATCGACGGTGGCCCCTTTTCAAAATGTGGTTCTTGCATCCGCGCCGCGCATTTTCGTTCAGAACATTGCGAGAGTTTCACGGATTCTCGTCGTCAGCGTACCAGACATGATAATGTGGAAGGATTCAGGATTGTGTGGGTGCAGCAATTATGTTGGCTCGCGGTGCTCAAGTCCTAGTAATGGCTTTCTGGCACGAGTCAGGATCGCCAAGACGCAACAGCCAGGTTGATCCGTGGCGCTGGATTTCCGAGAACAATGTTTTGGCATGCTTCAGGGTCTTCAAACGGGTGTCTTCCAACATGGCAGTTCCACCAATGGAAATGAACCGTTATATGGGGCCTATGAACAGGGAGTTTGGAGGGAGGATTTACTCCAGCATCGTTGATGACTCTTGGGTTTACACTGTCCTCCCCCTCCTCCTCCTCCTCCTC